GAAAAGATGGCTCTAAAGGAACCAAAAGCCAGTCAGTCTGACTGCAGTATGATGGCCAATAGCAGGTCAGATTATAAAGGAATCCAGCTATAAGCATCTGGATAACAAAGGAACAATTGTTAGATGAGAATAAGCATTTGTAAAGAAGTCCTGTTAGAAATATCTTACTACCCTTTTTGATTAGGTTACTAATTTAATGCTTTTCTACTTGAGGCTATTAATCCACAATATCTACTTTTGACATTATTGCAGAATTGAGATTTGAGCGCTATACGAAAAGCTTTTGCTTTTCTGCTTCTCTGCTACATAACCTGTAGGTGGTGCTATACTATGGTGAAATGATGCAATGACACAAATAGGACAATATATTTTCTTGTGTATTGTCAACACAATACAGAAACAGTTAGAAACAAACTTCCATTCTCCTCACTCTAAAAAAAGAAAGAAAAAGAAAACCTGGGAAAACGGTTTTTAACAATACAAGCAAAGCTGGAGGGTCATGAGGTCATCTAAGCAACCGACAAAGAACCAGGAGTGAAGAGTGACAGATGCCCAATAAATGTCTTATGTAGGAAAGCTCTTAATGGATTTGTAGAGTTCAGCAAAGCATCTGAAAAACTGTCTGGTTGGCAATTGCACGAAATGCAGTCAAAATGATCATGTGGATGCACAAACTGGGATTTTGTATGGGGTGCCCCATGACTGACTTTGGCTTTGCACTTTGAACATTTAGATACGTATAGATGAAGGGTAGGAGGAATTCTTACCAAAAGTTATGGATGATAGAAGACTGGGAGGGATAAGTAACACCCCAGAAAAGGGGAATGAAATTTAATCTTAGAATGGAAAAAGGTAGTGAAGCTGTCTGAACTGAAATGTATCAGACAAATGCAAAGTTCTGTGTTTAGGCAAATGCATAAATTCAGAAATGGCTTGGCAGTCCATATGTGTGAAAGGAGACTGCAGCTGAATATGAGTGAGCTCTGTGATATAGCTGCAAACATGTGATTTTTGGTTGCATTAATACTATTGTAGCCATGAAAAGTTATTATTAATGAAAAGTAAAGGCTCCACTTCATTGCATTATGCACACCTCACCTGAAGCACTGGGTCCAGTTCAAGGAGCCATCTTTTCAAAACTGGAATTCTGGGCAGCGCCACAAATTGGCTGCTCAGGGTTGGTGGGCAGCCAATCACACAACTGTTGGACATACGCCCTCCTTCTGTGTGGTTGAAGGTGTGTGTATGTGGGGGGCAGGCACATGTACATGCTCTGACATGGTGCAGCTCATCAAGGGTTAAATAACTCATGATGAGTTGCAGTGCCTCAGGGCACTTGGGTTTGCTTTGTTATGCAAATCGGGTGATTCTGAGTAATGCAATAACCTTACAAGAGACCATGTGTGAGGGTTACCATGCATGCTCAGCAGATTCACATGATATGCCAACCCCAGGGGGGTTTGCATATTTGAAATGATAGCTGCATGAGTCCCACACATGCCTGCAGCTTCACTGTGAGCAGAGAACCCACAGTGGGCTGGTGCCCTTTCTCCCTCTCTGGTTCCTCTTCTTCTCTGTCTCCACCTGTCCCACCACATTCTCTGTTCTTCTGCATGGCAGAGGAGATACTGCCCTTCTGAAATTGCACCAACAACCCGTGGGGGTACGGACACAGCTAGCCATCAGGGGTGGGGTGGGACGGGCAGCCTTTTTGGAAAGCACCTTTTTGTTTGCATTTAACTGAATGGAGCAATTGCTCCAGCTGCTGCAATAGCTCAACCTGTCAAAAGAGGGCTGCCGTGGGGGGTGAGGGAGACGCCCGTGGGGTGAAGTGGCCTGTGCCTGAAGGATCTTCCTGCACCTTCCAGTCATTTTGAAACAAATGCTGTATTTATTCCTAATATTTCTATATTGTGGATTATTAGCCCCTCCAAGCTGTTTATATATAAATATTAAAATCATATTTAAAATTTTAATGTTAAAATCACAATAGACAATGGGTGTGTGCTATGGACATTTTTTAAAACACATGGATTACAGGGGAGCATGATTCTGATAGTTTCACAGATGGGGAGAAAAATATCAACTCCCCTTGAGTGCTGTAACCCTCTGCCTCAAACATCACTTCATGGAAATTTGTTTGTTAAAAAATCTTCAATAGGCACCAAGAGCAGATTTGCTTTTATTTTTTTAAAGACTAATTGCTATGACTTATTTCTTAAATCACCCAATTTGTTGATTCTGTTATCTCTTTTTCTTTGATAAATGGTTGGTTTAAGTGCTCTAGGCTGGTGCTAATTCTGCAATTTAAAGGTACCTCACAAGCCTACAGGCTCCAAAGTATTTCTGATCTGGATAGGTGTGGACATACTGAAAACATCCGATGACAAGGGAAACAGGAATCCCACACCTGTCCGCATATACCCTCTGAAGTAATCTCTCCAGACAGCGTTGTCTACCTTGCAATGGAATTGTTTATAGAAAATAGTAGAAGGTACATGATGCAGAGAAAAAAACAGTTCCTAACTATAATATGCAAGACCTTTGTGGACAGAGTTGGCTCAATTCATCCAGTAGAGCAAATCATAACAGAGGCATGTAAAAGGTTTGCTCTTACAGGTGCCCTATGCATAATTTTAGACAGACAGACAGACAGACAGACAATTCTTTTAATCTGTACTTGAGGCCATGCACAGTCTTTCAAGATCGGACCAAAACAACCCTAATGAGAAACAGAACATCAGACCTGAAGAGAGATTCACCTGCATTCAGCATGCTTTTTGTCCATGTGAGCTTTCCTGGCTTTGCTGGTTTTAGCTTCCTTCCTTCCTTCCTTCCTTCCTTCCTTCCTTCCTTCCTTCCTTAAAACATTTCTATGCCGCCCCTTGCCGAAGCCTTTTGCCCTTGGCTGTTGATATTTTTAAACTAGCATATTTTTTCCCTAGCAGGCAGGTGGGCAGGCAGGCAAGACTGTTAAAGCTAGTGGTGTGCCAAACGGGCACATCACAGGGAAAAGTGAACCAACTGGCAGGTGCTAGTAAGGCTGCAATCAATGCCTGGTGGAAGGCAAGACCAAATTAATTAGAGTGAACTGTTGGCTGACACTGAAGTAGAAAACAAGGGCCAGCATGCACAGTGAGGTAGCTGGGCATTTGGCTAGTCCAAAAAACTGTTCTGGTGCATGTTTAGAAGCTTTAAAAAAAAAAAGCACCAAGGCAAGAAATAGCTATTCCAAAATGTTTGTTCTTGTTGCAATATTTTATTCTGGAGAGGAAAGTATCCAAGGTACACAATGCACAGGTACAGAAATCACACATTTTCCTGTGGGGCTGGACAGTCTCGTAAATTGGATGCTATGATCATAGCAAATCATATCCAGCAAATTTTTGAAGACTCATTAAAGGAAGGCACAGAAATTATAAAAAACAACACATTGCTGTCTTTTATATGGAGAATGTGTTCTCCAGAGCTATTTAAATAAATCCCTAGGAAATTCCACATCATGTGTGGGCACTTCCAATTCCTTGCAGTTTATAAGTGTAATCCAAGGAGTCCCTAATCACATTAATCCAGTTAATCTTGTATACATATGTCAACTGTGCAAAGAATGTGGTTATTTAACACTAATTAATACAAGAGAGAATCAGCATTAATTCAATTGTTGTTCAAGATTTTTCAGTTGAGTTAAGAAAGAGGGAGAAGGCATTCGGATTTGGGTAGCTTTCAGGCAAATACATCTCCTGACCTAATTAATTCTGGAGAAGAACTAATTGAGCACCTTGGGGGTTTAAAAATATCACTTCAGCCCTATATTGCCTCCATATTGGCTCAGTGCTTCTCTCACCCACATGCCGTAACTGATGCTCTAGCAGCAGTCAAGCAGTGCTTGAGCATGCTTGGCTCCAGGGACACTCCAGGAAAGAGTTTTTCCAACTCCAGCAAAACAAGTCAGTAGAACTGGAAAACATTTCCCACCATTTCCCATAGCCATAACACTGTGGGTGGTCCTTCCCTCCCTCCATCTCATGATTGCAGCTGTTAGAACAGCAGACAAGGTAGCCAGGCAGGTGGGGAAAGAGGCAGGAAGGCGGCCCATGGAGGAAGGAAAGGGTGTTTTTTCATGCCTTCAGGGTGCAACATGACTTGGAACTGGGCACAGAATGTTGTTTTCCAAACTCTAGTTTATTATTTATTGTATTTATATCCACCTTTTTTCCTTTCAAGGAATTCAAGGCAGCTTATGTCATCCGCCCCCACAACAACCCTGTGAGGTAGATTGGGCTGAGAGTCTGTGACTGGCCCAAACTTACCCAGTGGGCTTCATGGCTGAGCAGGGATCAGTACCCATATCTCGTGAGACCCAGGCCTATACGCTTAACCACTACACCACACTGCTATTCATGATTTTCTAATGTCTAGAAGTTTCATGGTTTTTTTCCCCTAATATTCAGGCCTGGTTGAGGGCATACTCCCTGTCAGAAGTTACTAGTCCATTTTATACAGTAACAGAATTTCCTACAGAAACCTTGTGAACTGAGTGAGTCAGACATCCATTCTGCACATATGGGAAGATGGTTTTGCTCCATATTAAACTGCAGTTTTTCACCTTCAGAAAGTCTTCAAAATTGTTCTTTTCTTAGGACAACAATGCTTAGCAGACTTTTTTTTACTCCATAATTACCCATTTCATTACTAGCAATGAAGCTTGACAACTTTCAGTTCTTGGCATTTAGCAGCTGACTAAAGGAATATTCTGCCCCACTGCCCCTTCCCCCACCCCACTGGAATTGTCTTTCAATTGTCTTTAGAAACAAGAAGCAGCATTTAAAAAAATAATTTTAGTTAATGAAAAGTAGTGCACAATGCTCTCTTGTCTGTTCTGTCGTAACATTTTAATCCAAGGAAACAAGGTACAGCACATTTCAAGGTTGACAAAGCGTTGCTGCTTAGACTCCTTAGTAATTACAAAGGTTATACATATTTGAAAAGCCCATAATTACCTCTGTTAAGTGACGCTGAACTGTTTATATCACCAGTGATGAAGGAGGACTCAGACTGCTTTCGAACAGTGTCATTCCACATCCTGCGAATGCGGCTCTGGAGAAGGACACAAGGAAGGGGCAGAAGGTGAACTTTAAGCAGCACAGCAATGGCATCTTCTTCCCATTATTATGGAAGAGCTTCTGCCAGCTCAGGGGTAAAGCCAGGGGTTCAAGTTTGCAGCCTGAACTCAAGCCCGTGGACAAAGGTTTCTTCAAGTATACTGCAAAACGAATTGCTATAGTCCAGGATCCTACCACCCACAAAAGGAAAAGAAGACAACAGCATCCTATGCATTTGTTTTCAAATCCAGATGCAGATGAGCCAGGGGTCAGACTAGATAGCCCAGGAGACCCCTTCTGACTTGTTCTGTTTCTATGTTTCTATGAGTTTCCTTTTTCCGGAGGATCCAAGCCTATGAGAGGCCCTGCATGGCTTGAATCTGATACAAAGTGCAAATCAGTGAGAAGAGGCACTGGATCAAAAGCTGAATGGGACGTGCACTGAATCCCGGGCAGGGGTGGGGGAGAGTTTGGTCCAAGCCTCTGTTTCCAAAAGCCACGTTTCTCTACTCAAGGAATAGGCAAATTTGTCAGTTTTAGATTTCTTGCTGTTCTATTCTTCCATTCATTCTATTCCACTGATTTCTAATTCTTTTTAAAAGTCTGCACAAACATTTGTACTGATTTTTGTGTGCATTTTCCCTAATATATATCTTTTAATGCACACTTGGTTAGTATACACATTTTTATGAGCAATTCCCTTATATTTATTTCACGAATATATGTGTGTTTCTCTGCACTCTTTTCCCTATTTTATGCAGAGAAGGGCATAAAATACCAAGGGAAGTGTATATGCCAAAGGCAGCTGAATTCTGGTTCACATATTGCTTTCGAAAGTGCTAATTTTGTATCGTGAAATTTCCCAACCACATTTCTACTCTCCTGCTTGCACTCACATAGAGGCAGGATATGATAATCTTCTTTCTGCTGCCTAACTTACCACTCTGGTAGCCATTCTTCACTTTTCATTAGTATTCAGGATGCCAGAAATGTATGCTTTTGTAGATGCTGTCATTTAATGGGAGAACAGTGAACCCATTCTGAGATGGAAGCAAGGCATTTGAACCATGCATCACAAATAACTGGGAAATAAGAATTATCCTACTGGAGCAAACCAAAAGATGCCATCTAGCCTGGCATCTTTTTCGGATATTAACCAGCCAGAGGAAAACAACATTGCGGGTAGGCTAAATTATTTCTTTCCATCTGGCCCAGGCATCTGGCGAATCCAAGGTATACTCCTTCTCACAAAGGATCCGTGTCTGTGTACCTGACTTTCTATAGAATTGTAAAGTATAAAATAAAACAGGTTTAGGAAGGGCAAGTTATGCACTCTCCTTTGTGGGGCACATCATCACTTGGGTAAATGGCAGCCATGTGAATTGGTCATGCATAGGGTGGAGCTGTTTCACCTATGGGGTGAATTGTTGAAAACATACAGAAGGTACGCAGTCTAGGACCTTATGGTTAATAATTTGTTTAGCATGTAGGACATAGTTAGAGACAGAAATGCCTAGACAGATTCCCAATAGCTGAAGTAATAGAGGGGTGAAATTTTAATCCTGCTGGAGAAGGTGGTACCTTTACAAGATGAAAAAAATACAAGCATCTAAAAATTCAAGTTAGCAAAAGTATGCTGAAGAAGCACACACCTCCATGGATCAATTTTCTTTTCAAATTAGAATAAGAGATGGACTGGTCTTAGTTATCATCTCAGACGCTCAACTGTGTTAAAAAAACAAACAAACCACCAGGAATTTTAAAAATCTGGTTTCTGGACCAGCTAAGTTAAAAATAGTTATGATCAGCTGAGGGCAACATTTCATGAAATATATTCATTTTGATACGTGGGAATGTATGTAGAATCAAGAGAAAATCTTTTTTCTGTTAACATGCAAATCTAAGATAAAATTCTTTTGAGTACATGATAAGAAAGAATAGAACACCGTAAGTTACAGGAGATTATAAATTCACGGAATCTTGCATTAAAAGGGAGGAAGCCAATGTAATATGTGCTGTTCTATGTCTTTCTTACGTGTATGAAATCCCGGTAGAATATTAATTGCATCTTTCATTAGGCTTTCATTGCTTTTAATCTTCATGCCTATATTGAATCCAATAAGGCTTACCTCTGAATAGACATACATATGATTGTGGTGCCCCTTACACTAACAATGTATTCTGTAATTATTGAGAATTCATTTTATTTAAAATTGCATTGTGTCTAACCTTAATAATTAAACTAACAGAGTAAAAATGGAAGGACATGCTGTTCAGAAGTGGGCCACTTTTATTATTGGGGAAAATAGGGTTCATGTATCTAGAAACATATTTGGAGGCTAACTGTACGATTTCTTTAATTTAATGCATCAGTAAGATTTGGACAACAACCCTAAAAAACACAAAAGTGTGCATTGGGGTCATTTCAGAATAACTGAAGAGACTCAGTATGTTTAGAATAGCACCTATGGAAATCACAGAACCTGTTAAACTCTGATCTCCCTGAAGCAAAGAAGATATAGCAACAGATGATACAACCCACAATTTGTTGCTAGCTAATGAGCAAGGAGTACAACGTACATTGTAAAATGACAGAAGATTAATCAGAGTAATTCTCCCATTTTGTGATCTACCAAAAAGCAACACCTTAACAACCTTTGCTTCACTCTATGGACCACATGGAGGAAGATATACAAAATAATCAAAGGCAATGGCAAACTCCTGCTTAATGCTGCCGATGCTGTCTGCATGTTCAATGTCCCTTGCATTGCTGCTGTGTGTGTAGGTTGGAGAGAAGCTAGACAGCACACCAAAAGCTGGCGTGGATGCTGCGCATGTGGTTCCACATTCAGATGGTGCCCTTATTCAAGCCATGGGGAAGCCTCGGGAATGCCAGGTATGGGCTGACAGAGTCGCATTCGCATCTGCCACACTGTGCACATGGCCTGACCAGAGCAGTGCAAAAGCTCACTTATGGAGCACACGAGCGGCTGCTACAGGTGTTTCATTAATGGATGACAGTAAAGCTTGCACACTCTGGGATGTCCTCCTGACATAGTGTGACAGCTACACGAGTCTTGGCAAAGACCTAGCCACAGATCAAATTCACATAGATACTCTTTCTATTAAACAGACCTCTGATCAGAAGAAGGGCCCCAATATTTTATCAGAGGTCTGGACAAAGGTATCTCCTCTGTCCTCTGCCTGCCTGGAGCTAGTGACATGTGTGTGCAGAACAAAACCTGCACACAGCAGAACACACTTGTTTCAGAAATGGTTTGAAATGTACTGCTGTCTGTGATGGCGACATGACCTAATTTCCTCTTTAGATGCTGACTCACTTTGTAAATCTTGCGCTTTAACATTTAGGAGTATGGCTATTCTATGTGTTATTTACATTTTATTTACACCATTCTTCCCTGTACCTGCTTTAAGAGATATGGCCATGTCTTCTACTTATGGTGATAACTTCATGAATACAACCTTATTTGTACATCTGTGCATTAAATGGCAGGAAATGTGTTAGCTACCAAACAGGTAACAGACTTGAAAAAAGCCATGTGGCATAGTGCAATGATGCAGAGTCCAAAGTCATGCTTTTCAGGACTTGTGTGCTCTGAGTCCTTGATCTTTCACCTTCTGTGATAGTTGGTGTCTGCTACAAGAGCGGTGCTACAATTTTTTACCTTCATCGTGGTGTACAGTATATTGAAATGGGTTTATTATTTTCAAAGCGTCAACAGCTTTCCTACAGTGTGCCTCAAAAGGTGACCTTCATTTCTGAGGGCAACAACTGTGCACACATGTACAATTGTACACTTGCAGCATGGTGCTTCGCCTTCACTTCCTGACACTGGTAACTCATTTTCCGAAGCACTTTCATGATGTTACGTACTAATACATAAGGCTTTAATGGCATTTCAATGCTTTTATGGGTTTGCTTTGTCACTGCAAATTAGCATTGATTATTCTTAGCTGTTTTTATTTTTATTTTACCTTCAGTTTTAAGTTTGTTTTGGAGTGATTTTTGTTTGCTAACAACAATAAATATAAAAACAATCTTGGTTCTTGAGAAATAAGGCAGGCACACAGCTGAAACAATGAAAAGCAAAAAATGGCTTTGTGCATGATTGTTTAGAATTAAAAATTATTGTTTATATTGACATTTTTATTATTTATTCTGAACTCATCTGCTCCAGTTTTGATGCAGTTATTCAACATTCTTAGCAATTTGTCCAGGTATTTGGTTAACTATTTAAAGTCTGAACTGATGCCTATCTGAGATACAATATCTCATACTGTATTAGCTAAATAGCAATTTCAGTGGTTTCCAAATCTTATTACTTATTTGGGGATACTTATTTGGGAATACTTATTCCCAGAGAGATATCTGAAATGATCATTAATTTGATCATTAACTGATCATTAATTTGAAGAAGCTGGTATACAGATTGGCATATTTAAAGTTGAGTTTGTGGGATCACTTTGGATAAACTTTACAACTTGGACTGTTTATATTATATGTCAGATACCTTTGTCTATAGCTGGCAAATATTTTCTAAAATGCAATGCTTTGGTTTTTAAATTTGGGGCGGGGGGAGGTGCTTTAATACCACTAATATCCTTGAAATGGATACAACCTCTTATTAAAGAAAGTGGCTTTGACTTTCAGAATCTTCCTTTATATAACTAGGTCTGTTTGTTGATCTGTACTATTTTCTTTTCCAATTTATATGTTCCACCTTGTTCAGTTCTGAAATCTGTTTGAATCATGTCTCCAAATGGTTAGCATGAAATTCAGGGTGCATCAAAATGGATGAGGTTCCTTCCATAGTTATGGCTGTTAGACATATTGCATATAGTTTCATGTTTGCTGCGTGGTAGTCCATTTTCTCATGCTAAATTGATTCTATGGGAAAAGCCAGATTTAAAAATAGTTAAGAAAAGTTTTTGTGGTATATTTGGAGCAATTAGTGGGTGCTGTAGTCATTCTCACCTTTGCATACCAAATATACTTTGCCTGCTACAGCTGAATGGCAACACTTGCAATAGCAATGCTTGTTAGAATACAGGTCTGTCCCTGCCATTTTCACAGCTTTAGAGTCCTCCTTGTTAGTGGAAGTGCTCACTGTAGTTAATCAGGTATTTTGACTCCCCATGTTCATAAACACATATCAATTAATAACTATGATACCCAGGGACTTAATAAATAAATGATACACTGGATGGTTCCATTCTGCACATTCAGAGAATTGCTGCTTTAGTGTCTGCATCTGAATCTTCAATGACTCTCAGGTTATGTTTTATTAAATGGCTATAATTATACCTACTAACAATGCAGACGACATTTGTGTCTGCTTTCTATTAATGAAGCTGTAAGCTCCTACATTTTATATGAACTGCCCTTCATAAAACTGTGTCTATGCTTTACTGAATAAAGAGGTAAATCTGACAGTATAAACACATAATGCAACCTGGGACTGCTCTCAAAATTCAAAGAAATAAGGCCAAAGGCAAATTATTCGAGGAAGTGTATGACGCTTCAAGGCTGTTGCAATGAGCATCATGACTGCAGGCAGATTTCAATTCAAGCACAGGGACAGCTGATTAAACATAGGTGGAAAAGGTGGCAAATGCAAGAATTCACCGAAGCACATGATTAAAGCTCACAGACAGGAGGTGGAGAACAGGATGCCTTCCAGCATTTTAGAAGTTAAATAAGTGCATTAATATAATCATACCACCCGCATTTCATAGCAAAGTTCAGGGACTAAATCCCTCCCTTCCCTGCCTCATTATTACATATTAGCACAGACTCTTCTTTACTTGCTGTATGATGTATTAATTTGCTGTGCAATAGCTTGCCCTGCCCTGCTTTAAAATGGAAGTTGGTATTTAAAGATGTAGTGGAAAAGCATCCTTTATAAGGGGATTGGCAGTTGAAAAGTGACCAAAGATGTGAAATGGCATGCTGCACACAGATGAGGGATATACAATTAGAGTAAAAGCTGAGCCCCTGGGGGAACAGGTTTCATAAATGGTTATCAGTTCCATTGATTTGTCTTGCAATTCTATACATGGCTTCATGGCAATTATGTTGAAAAACAAAACAAAACAAGACAGATCACTAATCTACAGTGTTTACAACTTACATTTGGCACAGAGAAAGAAAATGGGGTTTCTGCACCAAGTGTATAACCTGCCACATTCCCGAGGCTTCTGATACCTGATTCTTTTTTCCTTTCTCTGTGTTCAGTATACAAGCACTAGGTAGCACTGTGGTATACTGGAACTGTGCAAATACATGAGGGTTTCATGCTGCTATTAGCAGATACTACCAGACTTTCCTCAAGCTTAAAAAAATCTATTGCAATAGTTGCAGAGAGTGGGAGAAGCCCTGGAGGAAGACTCTGTCAAATAAAGCATCCACAATCTACTTTGAGTGTACAATAGATACCTCATATAGAAAGACTCAAAGCCAGAGGAGAGGACAAAGGTGGAGTGGCATACTGGTTTCCACTTAGCTGTTCTGATCACTGCCAAAATTTCCTGAAACCATTTCTCTATATCATATTGTCATTAATGGTGTGATTTGGCTAGGTTTCCCACCATATCTGCAAGTGGCAACTAATGATATGGAAATAGGGTAGGGGGACACTCAGTGGGGGGAAAGGCATGAAATTACAGTTCCAGTGATCATGACCAAGCAATTAACTATTTGGGCATGGCAACAAACAACTTAGACCCTCTTCGTGCTAAAGTAACGCTCTTTACCTGTGATCCTGTAGAGTATCGTCCAGGAGTTCGTGACCCAGATGTTTTTCCTGAGCCAATGGAGCTCTCTGTACTTTTCCCACTACAGCAATGTGTACGCAGGCATTTCCCATATTCTTTACGTACCTAAGCAATTAAATGATAATATCCATTAGGAGGAAACCCATTCTTCAGCTTTCACAATCTTGTGTGTACAAAGGAGAGAAATTCATTAAGTAATAATTGTTTCTGTATCACATCTGGCAATTTTATACTTTAAGATACACTTAAGTAATTGCTTTTAGGATGATCACTGATAACCTCAGACCTGTCAAGACAAATAAAATTGATGCAGGGAAAAGTTTAATTATACTTATTACTAAAAAATCAATTTCCTTTAAGGCAATTATAACTCTTTGCTTTTTGGCACAGGTGTAAAAAAGAAAATCCTGTCTTGGAGGAGGGTGAATAGGAGAGAAAGAGATACATACAACATTTTCAATTTTTGTTTGCCCTGCTGAAGAGGAACATGAATTATGTATTCTGCTTATTTGCCTTGGATGACACCTGGATGATAGTCTGTGAAGTCACAGATTCTCACAAATTGTGTCCTTTACACAAATGACTAGGAACCACTTAGCAGAATGTCTGAAATGTATTCATCATGATGCTAAAAATTGAAAAAGGATGCCACAGAATGGACTGATTATAATGGTGAACTTAGCCAGATATCTGCTGGGAAGTTAATGTGTATCCTGATGAGCATGATTCTGCACAGTCTGCTATCAAGAAGTCTCATGCAAACAACATTATTTATAACTTACTTTTTTCAAAACCAAACCAGATTTAAAAAAAAAAAATGCGCGCGCGCACACACACACACACACACACACAAATGAACAGGGAGAGTGGCATTGCATTGTGCAAAAACTTGACCTATCAAAGCAGACTGAAGCTGTTGTATGCCCTTAATCATGTTTTGCAACCATGTTCATTTTTTGTTGCTTTCCAACAAATGTTTTAAAAGTAGAAATGGCAAAAAAGCTCCAACTCTACCCTCAGTTTGCACATTTTACTGCTATAGGCTCATTCATTCATTCATTCACTTACTTACTGCACGCATATGCCACACTTCTTAGCAAAGGCTCACATAAACAACAATAAAATTCCAATAAAGCAGTACAATTTAAATGATAAAATAGCAAAAGAATAAGAGAATAAAACAATCAGAGATGAAACAAAAATAAAATTAAACAATTGCCAATAAAACCAGTTAAAACTGTGTTTTAAAATAATAATAAATATTGTCTGGCAGCTAGACATGCAGTGCAGCAGCAGAAACAGCAATATACCAATTATAAAACCACTCACTCACCAAAGTTATTATGAAACAAATTTTATTTATTTATTGATATACCATTCACAGCTCAGGAGCCTTTTGAACAGTTTACAGCTAAAAATGTCTTCATTTGGTGCCTGAAGAAAAGAGTGAAGATACCTGGTGGATTTTTTTTGGTACTGGGGTGCTGCTACAGAGAAGGCCTTTCTTTTGGCCATCTCCCCCCCTCACTTCACTGGGGGAAGGGGCCCAAAGAAGGGCCTCTGATGAAGACCTTAGTGATCAGGCAGGAACAAATGGAGATGGGCTCTCCCTCAGAGAGCCTGGCCCCAAGCTGTTTAGGGTTTTGTATGTTAAAGTCCACACTTTGAATTGGGACCAGATGGCAATGCAACCTGTGAATGTTGGGCTGCACCTGTACAACTCTGATAGCTTTGAGGGAGGGAATATCTCCTTCCTCACACACTTTATTGCCTTTTAGTTCTGGGCTCCCTAACATGGAGCATACAGCATAGTTTACCTCAGCGGCTGATGGTCTCATCAAGCAAAGTGTCCACTGCTGTATGATTTTCCAAAAATGCCCTGAGGCCCCATAACAGGCCTCCGCAGCATTTTTTTTGAGTACCAAATTTGTGGGTGGTGACAGGATCAAAAATGGGAGGGAGGCACTGTGTGAAGCAGGTGGGCATGGTGAGGAGTGAAGGGAGCCCAGTATGTGGTGTGTGGTTTGGTGGGTGCTCTTTCAAGGGCACACGTTTCCCTGAACATCATCAGTTTGTCTTCTGTGAAGTAGATATTTTGCTGTGATTTGTTGGAGGCAAATATCTAATTTGACATTTATGGCTCAAACTTCACTGTTTTCTACAAAATGCATGGGGCAGTGTCGGGTGGGGGAATAGTTGCTGGATCTTCCATGTGGGGGAGTAAAAAAATCTAGCTGTTCTCATTTTATATTTTCCAAAACAAGAATCCAACACCCTATTCGCTTCCACTGTCTTCCCAGGGCAACAGGAGTTTTCACATGACCTGCAAACTCTTCCTTCCACACTATACCTTGAAGATAATCTGTTGTCACCTTCCCCTTCTCCTCCCCACCTGTCTTTTATAGTATCTTGCCTGGGGATCTCAACATGTTGTACTTTTTTTAAAAGGGGGCAACTTTCTGTTTGGCCTAAAAATGGTACTACTGAACATGTGAATCTTCTTATAATCAACACAACATCTTTCTTTCATAGAATTATCGAATAGTAGAGTTGGAAGGGGCCTATAAGGCCATCAAGTCGAAACCCCTGTTCAGTGCAGGACCCAAGTCAAAGCATTCCTGAAAGATGGCTGTCCAACTGCTCCAATGTGGGCGATCCCATGACCTCCCTTAGGTAATTGTTTCCATTATCTCTAATAGTCAGGAAGTTCTTCCTGATGTTCTGCTGGGATCTGACTTCATGTAACTTGTCCTGTAACTGTGGACAAGTGGTACATACTGAGCCCAGACAAATGCACAATCATAGATTCCACCTGAAGCCCCCAGTCCTGCCCTGTCCTTGTATGTAACAATTATTCCAAATGCATGGATGGGTTAGAGAAGACCAGGAAGGTGAAAAAAGACTACTTTTCCTGACAATGGTGTGGAAAAGGGTAACACTTTTGGGAGAAATTAAATATCCAGCCTCAGTCCCCCATTTTCCTGTGCATGAGCACTCCACAGGGCACTCCATCCATCCCATCCATCCATATTGCTGGCAAGAAAGGCAGTATTCCAGGAGAAAAGCCAGAGGGGCCATGTGACCACTGGTTCAAAAAGCAATTTCATCCATTGTGACAGAACCTCAGATATGAGGCACAGGGTAGACACAGATGGCAGAATCATTTACGGATGGAAGAAAACAGAACAATTTGTAATTGGGCAATAATTAGTGGAAACCACTAACTATTTTAATCCATGGAAAAGGCAAACACTTGTCATAAAGAATAACAAAAAGTTCAGCAGAGGGCAAATGCATGTGATGGTATTTGCTTTTTCAAGAAATTCATCAATGAATTCATATAAGGGTACAGTGTCCTCATATAGGGTCTATGGCAGTGGTGGCGAACCTATGGCACGCGTGCCACGACGGGCATGCAGAGCCCTCTATGTCGGCATGTGAGCCAAGTCAACCCAGCAGCCAAGCAGATAACAGTGTACATAGGGACCATGCACATGCTTGGAAAGGAGTAGCGGCACCAGGTGATGACATCATGAGCTGCGACTCATTAGCTGTGACTTGTCCGAGCTTTCGCATGGCTGGTCAGTGCGCTGCCATATATATATATATATATTTGCTTGGACTGGCTGTGAGTTGGTTTTTCTAAACTAAAACCTCAGTATTCAGCTTTTATTGCAGTGTTGGCACTTTGCGATAAATAACTGGGTTTTGGGTTGCAGTTTGGGCACTCAGTCTCTAAAAGGTTCGCCATCACTGGTCTATGGGCTATGCGAATGAGCTCCATGATAGATTGTGTCCCACTCTACTCTGGTCTGAAAGCTGCATCAACTCTGTGAACCAAGTTGATGGTTCACAAGGGGTCTTCACAAGGGGTCTTACCCCTCTTACCAAGGGGTCAAATGTGCATATCAGGACTGAGATTGAGAGAAGTCTGTAGCAAAACAGCTTCTTCCAGTGGTATAGGACTGGGTTTCCCAATGAGTTATGCTCTATTTCCACCTTATGCAATACAGCCCATATTGTTTGTGGGCTGGTGGCAAAGACATTCACCAAGGAAATCCCTCAGTGATAGAAAGCACAGATACTACCCAGGCACTTGTGTCCAGCCATAGGGGCACCAAGTTCTTCTGTTTGGCACATCCACCAAAAAATTGCTGTCACCTTGGATAAGACACATCACTCCCAAAAATAAAGCACTGGGTATATTGTGAGAATTTGCCTTGCCTGTTCACATATAACTGTGCACACACACACACACACACGTATAGTATAACAGGACCAAGTTGTCTCTAACCCATGGACTACTCTGTCATGAATGTAATTGTAGAAGACATGAAATACCTTGGACATGGCTAACAAGTCTAGCATGTTGATAGTTCCCTTCCTACAGGAGACTAGGCAGCATCCCGTGAAGTCTCTCCAGTTGCTTCCCCACTTTTGCCAGAGATGGAGAGTGAGGAGTAATGGATTCCTTGAAGCCAGTTATGAGAGTTTGTTTGCTACTTCAGCAACCTGGTAACCTTGGTAAGTTACAGCAACAACTGTGCATGGGCACCCAGAAGGCTGGAGAAATTCTGAATAAATCAGTGCTGTATTAGCTTCATGTTCAGTTGTGCAAGCATGACTGCTGTGATGGGCTCTGAACATGATGAGCCATGAAAGGCTGTGCATCAGAAACACCAGCAAAACAAACAGCTGGTCGAAGGCTGTAGCTCTGTCCTTGCTCAAAGGCTGGCCACCAGTCGAGTCCAGAGCTGCCCAGATCAATTGGAGCCTGAAGGTAGGTACTAGACACAGAGATCAAGTTCTCTCAAGGGAAAATGCAGTGGGTTGCAAGAAGGGGTTGGCAAAATGTTGTGACTAGTCCTAGCTGTTGCTGATGTATGGGAAGGTGTTGATACTACAAAGATGGGGATGTTTGCTGATGACAGACATGTTGTGAAGACCTCTGGGCCCATGGCAAGGCCAAATAGCAGAGCCCCTGACCTAAACGCTGCAATTCCCAAAGGCAAAGTGGGGGAAAAATGGTAGCATTGTGGCCAGATACTGATGTAAAAATATGTACTAGATTTGTAGGCGTGAAACACTCTTCTTGATGGAACAAGGCAATGAACTTGGCAAAGGTCTCATTTTGATCTTCCTGCGCCTGATGAAGGTGATCAGATCCCAAAGTACCTTAATTGAATAGAGACCACTTATTTTATAGAAACAGTAAAATACCTTGGGTAGAACTATCTTGCTTCAGACTGGGTGGGCTCAGACTCATCCCTCCCTTTGGAGGAATGCTGATACTGACAGGTCTGGGAGAAGAGAGCCGAACTCTGTCATGTATCCAACCCAGCAAATGAGCACTCAGTAGTCATAGCTGCAAACTCCAGAGGAAAACCTCAAGGGCATGTGCGAAGCAATCCTTCTTACAATTGGGTGATGATGGCTGAGCAGTCAAAGGTGATGTTTCAAAGAACACAAATTCTTGCATTGGATGGGGAACCTGGGCTTTTTCCTAGGAGGTGAATCTGACTGATGAGATCCCTGAAATGAAGGAGACCTGGATGTTGTTCAGCCTGAGGGGGATTTCTGTCAATGACAGGACTGACTGGGGTTGTTTTCTGGCTGGTGACACCTGCATAACACATAGTTTCTGCTCCAGGTCCAGAATATCATCAATGGACTGTCTATTGCAGTCAACAGGGAAGGATGACACCATACAAATACTTAATTATAAAACAAACAAAAATTCATACATATCATCAATTCAAACAAACAGCTATACAAAATAAATGAGCTAGGTTATCCTCAAAACAGCATCCATAATGAAGTGACTAATTGCTTTGTGTAGGCACTAAGCAGGCTGATGCCAGGCCTGGTATGGAGGCAGCAAGTCCAGCTACAATATGTGGGGTTGTCTTTGAAAATGGTCCAAAAAACTGCAGCTGGTCCAAAATAGGGCAGGGAGATTGTTGACAGGTTAACAATGTGTTCCTGTTATGTAGTTCTTTGTCACACTGGTTGCCAGCACGTGTCTGGGCCTGCTTCCAAGCATTGGTCTTAACATTCAAAATCCTAAATGGCTTGGACTCAAGTTACCTGAAGGATACTTGTACAGACCCAAAGATGCCTGCCCTTCTCTGGGAGCGCCCCCGAAAGAGGGAGCTGGGAGGCTACCAAGAAAGGGCCTTCTCTGCCATGGCACTCCGGTTGCATAATGAGTTCCCCAGGGGGCTGCGTGGTGCCTGGGCTGTGCTTTTTCTTCCTATTTTCTCTCTCCTAGGCAGCTTAGTCTTTCAGTTTTCTGTTATTTTAATCTCATTATTGTATTTTTAATCTTTGCATTGCTGCACTTTGGCTCTTACTTTTGTTTTATATTATTTGCTTATTTTAATTTTCTACATTGTATCTTATGCTGTTTTTTGTGGTAAACTGCCCAGACATCTCAGGCTGTTGGATGGTATAGAAATGTAATAACGACAATAAAATAAAGGAAAGTAAAATAGACATGCCACAATCTGTGGTATCCAGAGTCCTCAGGTAGGCCACTTCATTTCTCCCAGTTTGCCACACAGAGGCCTGATAGTGCTTGTGCACATTCAAATTGCTTTCCCTAAACCACAGGAGGCAAAAGGTCCACTGCCCCCTAAAAGGGGCAGGACAAGCCCCTTTGAGGCCACTGATGTCTGGAGAAAATATTGTAAGAAAAATGCACTCTGAAAGCAGGAGGGAAAATGGAGAGGAGAGAATCCACCAAACATCAAGAATGAATGCAACAAGGCCAGAAGGAACAAAATAATGAAAGAAGAAAATAGTGCCTGTTTACTCTAGCACTAAGCATCTAAACAAAGGCCTAGCTATTTGCAGTGTGGCAGTGAGAAAGGAACCAAGTAGGGAGGTAGTAGCTGTCAGTGCCCGCATGTGTGGCTGGAGTTGCAGTGCAGAGGGCATGTGCCAAAATTCCAGCCCGGCTCTGGAAACTTCCTGAAAGAGGCCCTGCATCTCAGAACTAGAAATGTGAAGACTTTGGGGGTAGGGGAGGGAAAAACCCAGGAATCTTCCCACAACAAACATTTTTGAATGGCGTTTTTCCAGGCCTTCGCATTGCTACAGGGACCCATCGGTGGTGCTGCAAGAGATCACAAAGAAGAATTCTCTCTTTCCCTCACCCCACCCTCTGCCTGCCATAGGGCTATGGCTGGAATCTGGGCACCAGCAATACTGTCAAGCATAATTCTCCTGGTTCTAAAAGATGCCACTGTGTTTGAAGATAGGCAGAAAAAGTGAGAAAGGCAGGATTTAAATTATTTTTCAACTTTTAGCTTAATTCTAGCCAGAGAAGAATGTGGGGGCTCTAACATTCACTTTATGTGTATAGAAATAAAGAATCAAATCCTGTATCTTGCCAAAGGCTCCTTCATCTGGAATTTCCTCAGGCAATGTATCTAATTATTCCTTAGCCATCTTTTAAGATCATAATCTTCCAATATAAAGCAGCAACATTCAACATCAAATTATAAAAATTCTGTAACATATAAAATTCTTAAATTCTAACATTTTTAAAACTAGGCATTAAAAATAAAATTTCTCATTTCTAATAGTAAAGCCTCCTTTCAGTTAAAAGTCAAAGGAGAAAAAAAGCTTTAAAACTTAAAAAAATAGACACAGATGGAAACAGCTACATCTCTCTTTGGAGGACATTCTGTAGGGTCAAGGTCATCACCGAGAAGTGCTTGTCAACTTTAGTGGCAGTTTCCTCCTTAACCTGCCATATTTATACTTTAAAAATATACATTTAAATAAGTATTTCTCAATGTTTATTCTCCCAAAGTATATATTAACATAAGTTTAAATGTTCGTTTTGATACATTTTCTTGAACCAAGAATGGCATCGGGAAAAATTTGAACGTGCAAATGCCTCTGGACAGGTAAGTTCCACTCTGCACACCGATTCGGATGGTGTAGATGGTGCCAGTTTGTATCAGAATCCACAATGGCTAAATACGTCAAGTAGCTTTAGCAGGATGCCCAGTAGGACCACCTTTACCCCCTCAAAACAGTGAATTGCTACCATATCAGCACCACCCCATAAATAAGTCCAGATCAACTAAATGACAAAATCCAGGAAAATTTTCAGAGGGAGGAATTTGACGTAACCACAACTCAGATTTCCATACACCAGATGCCAATATTCTGTACTGAAGGATACCCATTCATTTTTCACCATTGGTTCGGATATACTTGCCATCATTTTAATGTTTATGTGAACACCTTGCTGTGACAACACAAAAGGCAAGGCACTGTCAGTAAAGTTCTGGTAGAGTTGCTGGGCAACAAAATTTCCATTCTGATTTTCCCAGAATGAAGAGGAAGAGGAGGAGGAGGAGGAAGAATGCTTACCTTTTTCTGGAGGACACAATGGAAAACGAATATAAACATTCCCTGAAGAGAATTGAAAATGGTGAAGAGGTAAGCCATGATGACTGTGCTTTCATTAATATACATAAGCCCAAAGGCCCAGGTCAGTCCTAACAGGCAGAGAAGAGCTATTGCACCTATGACCCATGACCTGTGGAAAAAGAGAGAGAAGAAATAGAAAGGAAAAAGGTGTCTTTGATTCCTAGAGAAAACAATTTGATGCACACAATAACCACATCATGCATTATCTGAAGTATTTGTGAGAAATATGTCTTGAATTCAATGCAGTTATTACCACATGTATAACTTGGAGAAAAATACAGTTATGAAAATGTTATGAACATGAAAATGTCTCTTTGGCAAAGCAGATTTGTAGCAAATGTTTTTGAACAGTAGCAGTGTGAATGTAATGGAATGCGTAGATGCAGCAGAGCAGAGGAAAATGGACAGTATTTTAGATTTGCCTCCCTTCCTTATATACCCATTGGCTTAAGCACATTATTACAAGAATTCCTCCTATTGAAAAGTATGGAAGTGGCTTAAAGAGCATGCTAGTGCTCTTGTGTAGCACATGCAACTTACAAACAGGCTGTGGAGCAGAATTCTCTGCAGAATGATACCATCAGCTGTCTAATTGTAAACAGTTTCAGCATTTGACTTGGCTCCCCAATTTTTGTAAATTAAAATCTCAAATGAATTACAAATTAAACCCACCAAAATACCATGGGGGGCAGCTTTCCTCATTTTTTGGTGTGATTGCTTTCCCTTGACCTTTTTAGTAGAAATTTCAAGATGTTGCAATTATTAAACTATCAGGAATGAAATGTGATGCTGCCCATGTAGCTGAAGAAGTCTCAGGAATATCTAGCCAGATACTAGAAAATGCAGGAAGAAAGAATAAATATGGCCCCAAAGGAATGGGGTAAAGAATACAGAGTGCTTGTCTCTAGAAAACGCCAAGAGGGCAGATCCAAGGTGCTACACAACAGCCAGCCTGAAAAGATTTCAAGCAACTGAGGGCTAACCTAAACAGCATATAAGGATGCATTAATATCATCCTAACTCTCCCTTTGAAGCAAACAGAACCACACTGAAGGGGTAAACAAGGTCAGAGAAGTGGTGATGGTGGAAAAAATAACCAATAGCCCTGGTAAAATTGACCATTTGCAGATACCACAACTGGTTTTGGTAATTTCAGAGTGCAGGTGGGTCTGCTTCAGTCTAGGAGCACACATGAAGGAACCTCAGTGATCATGCATAATATTTCCCATCAAAGAAGCTAACATGGGGCTTTGGGGGCTGAACTCTTACAATTAAGGAGATTAGGGTGATCTTAACAGCAGCCAAGAACAAATCATACCAGGTCGATAACTGTCTGTGTTGGCAAGGGAATTCACTGGATTTAATACTTATGAAGCAAAAAGCCGTTTTATGCAGTCCCACTTGATACATTCCTAAGAAACCTTCAGAACTGTAGACAAGAAGTGAGTACAAATGTGTAAAAAACTGCATTCATTGAGTAACAATTAATGGATCGACATCCAATTAGAAAACGGTCTTATGTGGGTTTTATGCAAGATTCAGCAGACCTGGTTCAATTCAACAGCTTCACTGAAGCTAGAAAAGTTAGGATGAAAAGCAACTAGAATCTTTGCAGCAGCAAAGCTATTTTAAAGGCCGCATAGCTAAGAACAGTAATAATTTTTAAAGGCAGTGCAGAGAGGGATTCAAGTACAAGAACTAGCAGCTAAAAAGTGGTCATAAACAAATGTGGATTGAAAATGATTATGTAGGAAACTAAGAATAACAACAACTCTAAAGCACTTAAAATATACGATGCTACTACACAAAACTAAAATAGAAGAGAATCTCATTTTCTGTTCAGAGGCATATGATCCAACTATCAGGAGATTATCAGAGTCGAGATGTTCAAGAACAGTTTTCCTGGAATACTTGTGGGAAATAAAAATCTTAAATAGAAAACTCAAGGAAGGCTATACCTCTGAGTTATTGTTAATATTACTTTGGTGCCTCGGTTGTGATCACTGAGGCCAGAAGAGATTCCCCCATCTTATCAACTGCATCATGAGGGTTGACTACAGCTAGCAAGGCATATATGTGGCTGCAGTAAATCTTACATGAAGATTAAAGAGTTCACTTCCAATGTGTGGAGGGAGGGCACAATCTCAAGCCATGCTTATGGAACAACCTTTTGCACAAAGCTTGTGGACAGGTATCATGACCCTACTTGCTGGCCTGCTTGCCTTCCTGTTGCAACAAGCTCCTTTTCTGGAATCATTTTTACTACACTGTATCTTAAGTTCTCTGTGGCTTATTAATATTATGGTTGGATGTGTATCTGACATCCAGATGTGCATGTTAGAGGAAGAACAAGAAGGATAAGACATGACTGTATTTAATCAGTGACTGAGATAGTTCAACAGCATGTGATTCAAAACAGGAAAAGAATGTAAACTTTCTAGGGAATAAGCTTGTACATTAGAAATCTAGAATTAAATTTTGTGAGATAAATGCAAAAGTCACATAAGAAATGAAAAAAATGAGCTGGTATTACTTATAACTGGCTACATAATATCATTCTAGAAAATAATTTAGGAGGAACATGAGTCAGCAGTATAGCACTGCGACATTAAATAGTAATATCATTTGAATTTTCTATTAACAGAACTATGATAGTCAAAAGCAGCGAGGTGTTTCCATCACTCTGATTAGCATGAACACCACCGTATTGAGAATATTGCTCTGAGGGCAATAGTTCAAGAAGGCTGGCGACAGATTGTGGGCAAAGGATTAGACTTGATCTTTAAGAATGCCAACAATCGAGATGATTAATGAGGCAAAGGAAGAGTAAAAGAACTGGTCAAACTGAACAAAAATTTAAAAGTTTTAGCTGGTTCACAGGATCAGTTTTAACTGAAACATTCCTTTAATGATTCTGCAGTTACACAGACACTAGGCTATATCTGTCAGTTATGTGCCACACAAGATGTTTCGACAAGTCCTGTTTTTATTATATTTGTACAGTTGATGACCAATGGGAAGCATGTTTGCTATACCTCCCTGATCAACTTTGAGTTCCAAGTCTGGTTCATCCAATACAAAATAAGCCACCCTCTCTTCTGCCTCCCATAGCTCAGCCCTGTGTTTGCTCCAAGTAGAACTGGCAACTATTTACCAGTGTAAGATTTTGGTGAGGGGCCTGGAATAAGTCTTTCCAGTAGCAGAGAGAAATTCCCACTGATGGAGAAGGAGACCTGCCACATCCAATATCCCCTCAACTGCCCTCCCTAGGAGCATAGGATTGTCGCTAACAATCTAATGGCTCAATAGGCATGAGTAACGTAATGCCTATCCTTTCTTAAGTCATGGGGATGATATCACTACTGCAACCCGTTTTCTACTGGGCTATGTCCCCATAGTTTAAACGCTGGGGGTGTTACTGCTTTATAAATTGCAGAGTATACAATTGGCTTCTTAAGGAATTTTTTTCTGTCATGACATTAAATCCATTCCCAAGGTGGGATGAATTCTTTACACATTTGGAAAGGAAATCATTATTAAACATGTAATGAACTAGAAACATTACAGAATATCTTTCCTCAATACTGTGGTGTGTGTGTGTGAGCTAGTAAAAGGGGCACATTTTCCGAGCAGCCCTGTGTTCCTTGGGATGGAGAAAGATAACAGGAGATCCACCAACAGAAACTTCACCAGTGGCTTCCTGTCCAAAGCTGGAACTCCTACCTCATGGAAAGGAGAAGTGCTCAGCTCCCAACATTAATATGGAGGAGGGGAATTGAACTGCCCTGTAAAGTTACAATTTTTCTTTCCATTGAGCGAAAAGAAAAACGGTTTCCTGTTCACTTCTGTCTTGCTAGCAAGAGCCTGGGAAAGCAAAGGGTAGATTGAAGACTCTGGTGCCAGACTGCTCTATCAGCAAGCTTAAGATTCCTCTCCTTTTCACTAAAATTGGGCAACAATGAAAAATCATCATGATTTTGATGGAATAGCAGCCTCAGTCTAAAACAGACAAAGTCCTCAGGGATTGTAAGCACATTGCGTCACCACTTGTGGTTCATTCAGTTTCATCCTTGGCATCCTCTACCCTGGGATGAATCATACAGTTGTTCTCCTGCAAAGTTCCCTTGAATTTTGAGAAGGTTGTGGTCTGGAGAAAGGTAGTCAAAGCTGCTGTAGAAAGCATGTTATGTTTGGGTTTTTAAAGTGCTGTGTGTGTCTGGATCAGTGTCCAAACCTTCTGACTGTACTGTAAAGGCATTATTTTACTATGAATGCTGATCCAGTGATTTGTAGGCGCTCCAGTATGTGTTAAGGTCTCATGGCTGCCGGTTTCAATTTAAACTTCAGTGCTACGTGGAGATCCTTGGGGGCAACTGGATGTGCAAGTGAAAGGAAGCCTTTCTTTGGAACAATTTAGACAGTCTGGCAGGACATATGGCAATTCTCACATGCACATGGACTGCACTGTAGATGAGTCTTATTTTTCCCCACAGCACTCCCTGCACTGTGAAAGATTTTCCATGTGAAGCAGAGCAGCCTTCTGCTGTCAAAATAATGTCTAAATGCCAGATGTTTGTGGGCCAAATGCTTGATTGTCCACAGACTTTTGGGATCTCCAGTGCTCCCATGCAGTTCTCCAGCGTGTAGGCTTTCCTATAGATTTTAATAGAGAGAACAGAGCTGCACATATGAAGGAAAATGACCCTGCATTCGCCCTACAATCAAAGTGCCTCTGAGCCTCCAAGTACTGGGGTGCATTTCTTCAAAAATCAGCATGAAACGATGTTGCAACTATATCTGATATGATATACAAGTGGCTTTTCATACTTTAAGTATTCCACTCCCACAAAGAAGTTACCATTTCATTTAAAGTTGGAGTTGGTATCATATTACTGCTAGCTTGTCACAGAGAAACATCTCTGGGGTTTGGATTGCTTTTGTTGCCCAAATAAGACTGGCGAACAAGTGAAAGCATTCTTAAATAGATAACCTACCACAATCTTATGAAAAGGTAAGGAATGACAGAGATGAAAATGAGACAAAATAAATGAACACAAATGACTCTTCACCAGAAGAACAAACTGAAAGTTCACTATAAAGTATGGACAC